ACGGAAATGGAGCATTCTCGGCGAACGCTTGTCATGGACTCGTGTGTAACAGACAATGCCAGACGGGTATTGGAACTGGGACCCGGTTTTGTACCGTCCACGGGAAAGTTAACCAGTCGTGAGAAATCAGAAGTGGTCACCTCCGTAGAACGGATGGCCTACACTTTGAGATGGCAGCAGGCGCGGCCTCAGGGTGTGGAACAGCCAGAGGACGACCACGATACCGGTACCGAGTGTGATCGCAGGCTGTGGAAGCTAAAGAAGCATGGCTTCAAGCAACCGCCCAGAATGAGCCAGGATGGGGAAAGAAAGATGGCCAACTTCAAGGACGAAGTTTTGGCAGCATATGGCAAACAAAGACCTCCCAAGCATAATATGACGCAAGAGGAACGCGACGGACTGAGAGAACTTCGTCATGACCCCAGTGTAGTGATAAAGCAATCCGACAAGAGCAAGAAGCTAGTAGCTATGAAACAGGAACTCTACCTGGAGAAGGCAGAGGCACTTCTGTCTGACAGCACTATGTACAGAAAAGTGGATCTAACTATCACTGCGTATGAGAAAGAGGTTAAATCCATACTGGAAGAGCAATGCACGAATATGGATCCTGATCTTCTGACTGCAATACTCCCTCATGACACACGATTCCCGGAACTATACGGTCTTCCAAAGGACCACAAGCAAAATTTGCCCCTCCGACCTGTTGTCTCTGCTTGTGACAGTCCAGTCACAGGAATTTCGGTGGTTCTCGAACGCATATTGCATCAACTGCTTGAATTTGTCCCATCGCACCTCATCAACACCAAAGACGCGCTAGACAATATCCGCACCATATACCCTGGCCTTAAAGCACCTGCTGGAACGATTCTGGCTACGATGGATGTGGTGGGTTTGTATCCCAGCATACCGATCGAAGAGGGCGTAAATGCCGTTAGTGACGTGCTAGAGCAACACTATAACAGAGTTGATATGCTCGGGCTGAGCGTGACCCAAGTCAGGACACTACTGAAGTTTGTTCTGAGTCATAACTACTTCAGATTTGGCAGACAGATCTACCACCAGCTAGATGGGGTTGCTATGGGGAACAACCTGGCACCTCCATTTGCCATCCTGTTTATGCACACCATTGAGACACGACTTCTTCAGGACTCACCCTTCCAACCTATTCTGTTCAGACGATACATCGACGATATCATCATCCTATGGACACATGGTAGGCAGCGCCTTCTGGAGCTCATAGAAAGATTCAACGCCAGCCACGAACGTATCAAATTCACGCATGAATTAAGTTGTGACAGTGGCTGCATAGACTACATGGACGTAACGATCGCGGTTGGGCAAACCGGAGAGCTGTCATTCAAATTGTTCCAGAAGGCATGCAGTAGTGGCCTACTGGTGGATTATTCATCGGCAGTTCCTCACCACATCAAGTTAGCCGTTGCTCAATCTCAATTCCTAAGGGCACAGCGACTATCGTCTAACCCCATGATGCAAGCCGAGAGCGAACAAAAAATACACAAACAACTGCGCATAAATAACTACCCAGACAGTATCATATCGGAAGCAAGGGAAGCTGCCAGGAAACCTCGGCGTAGACGACGCGGTAATCCCCGCTCTGCCTTCCTTAAACTACCGTTCAAGTCCGATGAAGTACACCACCATGTGAACAAAGCAATACGGAAATACAAGTTGCCGGTACGTGTCGTATACGAGCACTCGGGCAGCCTCAGGCGTCAACTGTGCCGTTCAGCGCTGTTACCACCCAAGTGCGTAAACGAGCCCAACATTACTGAAAAAAGACGGAGAGGACGTCCACTAGGGCCTTGCATTACCTGTCAGTCTGGAGGCGAACGAGTATGTATGACAAAGAATGTAGTCTACGAATTGCAATGCAAATGGTGCCGGGAAACGTATGTAGGGGAGACGGAACGCTCCTTGGAAACAAGAATTCGGGAGCACAATGGCGAGGCACGCCGTCGCACTCTCGATAAGCCATGGGGTGACCACGTGCGCGACAAACATTCTGGCGAGAGTATAGCTGCTGCGGATAGTGTGTTCTCGGCTGTGTCAGTCCTGGCAAGGGCAGGCGACAGAGCAAGCAGAAAACTGCGAGAAGCTGTTGAAATCCGCAACTTGCGGCCGCAAGTAAACACTAATGCTGGCTGGGCACTACTGTGAATATATCGTATCTGGATATTAATATATCACCAATCCCTTTCGCCACCTTTGTAGCTGACACATTTGGCGCAAACACAGCACAGCACAGTATATTTGCTGCTCCTTTGTAGAGTGCACATCATTGCAAACCTGATGAGGGCTATATGGCCCAGAATCTGCGAAAACCAGGCTTAGGGTGAAATTTCACAAAATGACTTTTTCCCATTTTCAGCTTCTACTGGGCATGGGAGGTCAGGAGACAAAATATTACAGGTGTGGGTCGACTCATAGTGGTATTAAAAGTATCTCAAACACACCAGGGTATTGTGTTGAAAAATCGGAAAAAAACACAAAATTGTTTTCACAGGAATTAAATGAAGTGAAGAGAGAACCACCAGAGTGAATGAAGAAACATGGATGATTTTTGTTGAGATGACGTGACAAGGTAGGCATGTGGGGGCAGGCTTGTTGTGGCCCCTTGGTGCTGCAGGCTGTACTGGCCATGCACAGTTCTGCAGTAATTTTGTTTGCTCCTTACTCAGCACATTCTGGGGCTGCATACATCTACTGGCATGTTCTGGCGCTACACACCACAATGAAACCCGACTCCAGTTGAGATGGCACCTTTTGAAGGGTGAATCTAGTACAACTATTCAAAAACAAGCATGAACACGGCCTTTCAAATGTTCCACTGTTCCTAGTATGCGCATAATGTGCTGGCATGCTGCAGTGTCTGCTTGGTGCTGACCAGCAAGTGAAATCTCGGCACGCCGTATACGCGTACAATCCCTTGCAGCTAGCTGTCCAGCGCGAGCGAGGAAAGTCTCGAGTGGAGGCCTCTCGATCTGCTCGCTCATTCGCTTGGCATTCAGTAGCACTTCATCGCCAAGGACTTCAATTCAAAACAGTTTTCACACTGCGCTTCTAGCCTTTTTCCTCGTGAACTTGCTGCAAACGTACGAGCTCTGCTGCGCGTGTTCCCTTCGCGTGAAACCCAGAAACAGCTAGTACCTTCGTACTTCGGTCGGCTGGATCGATGTCGTCCAGGTTCTCGCTATCGCCATCACGACTCCAACTGGAGACGATTTCTTCACCATTTTCCACAAGCAGCAGTTAGCGCAAACATTTCGCCATCCCTGAGTGAAGCCTCACTGAAGGAGATGGAATCCGTTCGATCAGCTCAAAAACTCTTCGTTGTGACTAGAGGAGTAGCAGGGAATATTCTACCGGAAGCCCTTTGACTTCCCTGACTGCTGAAACCCTTCCTGCCATGACTGCTACTTCTTCAAACAAGCGAGATTCTCTTTGGTTCCACTTCACTGCACTCGAGTGTCCACGCGACACAACCTTTTTACAAAACATCATTTTTCTCAAAAAAATGATTTTCACCCTAAGCCTGGTTTTCGCAGAAGTTGGGCCATATGCCGAAACGTTGTTTTAACTACGAAAATGTGTTCGAACGTTGCAGTGTAAATAGAAGGGGGCGAGTCCGCTCCATCTGTAATTCTGTATGAAACTGCAGGAGGCCTCACCGCTTCTAATCCATTCAAGTTCAAGACACTATTTTCTTCTTTTTATTTCACTGACCAATGGAAAAGCCAATTCGAAAACACTGAATCTGTGTTATGAAAGGTAACTAGGATTGGGGAAGATAAACCTGCGCAGCATGACCCCGAAAATGCCACCTGTTGCAAAGACAGTAGATTTTCGCTAGTTTGTTCAGGTAAGACTTGGAAGTGTGTTACTTGAATCATACATTTTCCTGAGGGTTAACAGCGTCAACGCGATGGCATTCCTATCCAGAGTAGGTACACGAAAGGTGACGGCGAGATTCTGCAACTGTTTGTCAGCCACTCTTGTTTTCTGATGGGTGTCTTGCATCTAGGCAGCCATGGAGCCCGGGTACTGCAGAAACGGATGAGCAGAGTGTTGTGATCTGTATAGTTCAACCCTGTGTAGAAGTCCATGAAGATCACGTCAAACTCATTGCGATCATCGAACAATTTGGCCGTGTGTTAGGATAGAAGCACCGCCTAACGCCTAGTCGGATGTGGATCAATTGCTTACATAAACGAAAGTGCTCTACATTCCAGCAAATTTAGTTGGTTGTGGAGCATTATAAGTGCCTGATACAGTGCGGCCAATCATGATAGCAGAGTTCTAGGCCAAGAGATCATGGACTCTACAGTGCTGCCTCAGGTCATGAATTCGGGAATACCTTTTGCTGATTTCCAGGATAAAAAATAAGTTCTTTCATCCAAACTAGTGTCCATTCATCGGAAACAGTCCCTCTGGCTTTTGAAAGTCCGATTTGGACCGAATTGAGGATCAAAAATCTACTTTAAATCTCAAACATCTGGGTTTGGAATCTGCTTCTCCATACATTTTTCCATGGCATACCTGTCCTGACTTTGTAAAACCAGGCTGAATTTCTATTTCCCTGTTCTTGGACTTTTCCGGCCTCAAATGTGGCAAGGAGTAATTGCACATGTTACACAATGCAGGATGTACTGTTGTTTTGACGATATCTACAGGTATGTGTGGGAGACACGAACAAGTTAGGATGCCAGTTTCCAATGAATGAACTGTACATGTTTAGTTAACTTAAACACTGTTGCCAGGGAGTCACAAAGCATGTTCAGCATCGGGAAATCAATGCATTTGTCTTGTGGTCATCTGGTGTAGCTGTCCTTGAGTGATGATGTGGTGGACTTGACTATCTAGCATAGGGGCTAGCTTCGTTTTTGTGTTTGCGTATGTGCATGTGCGTTTCTGTGTGTGCCTGCGTGTGTGCATGTGTATCTGTGTGTGTGCGTGTTCCTGTTTGTGTTTTGTTATTGCAGCGAAAGAGTCAAGTTCTTTCTGGTAGATATCCATACATACTCTGCAGGGAGCTGGTGTTCGTTATGCTTAGTCTGCTTAAACAACACGGAACGTACACAAGACACCATTATGGTATTCTCTTCACCTGTTACAACTCACAGCAGCCATAGTGACAGTATGGTCATGGATACCCGTATCATCGTTGATAGCGACAGAATCGTAGAAAACCACCCTATCTAACATGCTTAGACTGCATTTTGGTTAATGTCAGATGGAGGTTCCCTGCTTTTCTTCCACTCTTCCTTTCTCTGATCTCATAGTGCTGGTAATATAATTACTGTGTGACGAAGAGAATATTCAAACCAATTTGCAACCTCAAAGTCTGCTGAAAGTGAGCATATGCCAGTGCGAATGGAATGCTATTATTATTCTTTATTTCCACGATGTCCCATGACCAATAAGGAAGATAGATATCACATAGCCTAGAAAAGGGATCTTAAATTATATTCAAAGATTTCTACAAAAGAAAAGGAACCAAGGAACTACAAGTTGCGCTGTAATATCCACTAACACCACCAGTTACTTAACAATCAGCTCATGCGATAACATTGCACTTATGTTATTTCTATTACTTACATTGTAGAGTGCAGATCACCTAGTGCTTTCAACAATAATAACGTACGTCCACATTATGGGAATTTGGTATAACCCCACACCCGTCATTGTTGAATACTCGATAATAGCGTGGATTTCCCAAACAATATATTTTCATTTTTTTTTATCCTCTCCCATGCCGTTGTACATAAGCGGCTTGCCGCGGATATGTCAATACTACTACTACTTCGAAGTAGAACCTTCCAAGCTGAAAGGCTGTTGAAGTGCGCATCCATTATGTGCTAGAGCTGTTAGCCAGTTAGTTGTAGAACTTTATTACTGTCGGTCAGTGTCGTTTAATGTTATCACATGAGCTGATTGTTTAGTAACTGGTGGCGTTAGTGAACATTATAGCGTAACTTCAACTTACTTTTAGTTCATAGTACTCATAAAATGGACACACTTCAGGCTCTTTACGAACATGTTGAAATTTTTTGGTTTCACAAGTATACTTTCAAGCCTACTCATCAGGTGAAATACAGAAACACACTAAATTCACACTTAGGCTGTTAGGTAGGTCGTCAAAACCTCGTTAGTTATGTCCAGTGGTTGTCTCTTGTTGCCGCACTACATGTCACGCTTATTGAGTTTTCTCGCACTTGCACCTTTTTGTCATTAGTACTATATGTATATGTCACGCATTTTCGCTGTTTACTTTTACCTATTTTCTTCTTTGCGCTGTTTTACTACCTCCTTGCTGTACTTAATCCACTGTTCTTGTTCCTTTTCCCTTGCCTGTATTTCACCTGATGAGAAACCAAAAACTTTCAACATGTTCGTCAAGAGCCTAAAGTGTGTCCTTTTTTGTGAGTATTATCGCATTTTTGTCTCAGAGGAAACTGTTATCTTGTAGTTCCTTGGTCCTTTTTCTTTTGTATAAATCAGGGAGTCGTAAAATACCGGGAGGCGACACGAGATGCACAACCGCGTCGGATGATTGACTCAGCTCGGGCACGAGTGCTGAGGGAAAATTATAGAATCCCCATGAGGTCAAAGCGGCGCAGGTCATGCACAAAGGACGCGTTCGCTGTTTGGTCCCAGAAATCCAAAAAATAATCCTGCTCCCAAGGAATCGTCCGAGTGTCAGCAGTTAATTTGGTGATTCTAAGTTTGTGCCTTGACGGGGTAAAGGATGATGGAGCTTGACAGAGATGCCTGCCAAAGTGATGAGTCCACCGTGGAAGATGTAGATGACGCCACGTATCCACTTGGTGACCTGAGTTGTGGAGATGTTCAGCTGTGGACTGACTGGTGAGATTCTCTCGTCTGCATTTTTTTGTCTCGTCTTGTCCTTGTGAACACGAATGTACAATCTGTAGCATACTAAGCGCCCCAAACTCACCCGAAAAATGGGAGTCTGCCCACGGTGCATTGTCTGTTCACTATGACATGTGACAGTGTTGAACCTGTGACAGGATATTATTTTATTCGTGTCCTGAAAATTACGTGTTTACCTAGTACGTTAATTTTTTGACATTATAAACCTCCGCCCTCAACCCTTGCTTTGCCTATGTGCAGATCCATGTAAGAGTGGCAGTGCCACCATGGTGTACAGGCCTATGGAAGGTGAAATAATCCATGGAATTTGCGAACTGCTGACAATGAGACAGGCGAGTGTTACTGAGGCGATGGAGTCATTCCTGCATGTTATCAGGACACAGTTACACAAGGCATCAGGTTTTGGAAATCTGCTTCGCCAGGAAGTGTGCCAGCTGAAGGCATGCAACGGTGCTGGCATTTCGCAAGCATGGCAACAAGTGCTCTCCAGCATCTCAACAGCTTTCCCAAAGTGAAGCTCCGTATAAGACACAATATGAAACAGCTAAAAACAACTGAAGCAGTGACATGTGAATGTTGCACGAGCATGCGTGTGTGTATGTGTGTGTGTGTGTGTGTGTGTGTGTGTGTGTGTGTGTGTGTGTGTGTGTGTGTGTGTGTGTGTGTGTGTGTGTGTGTGTGTGTGTGTGTGTGTGTGTGTATATGTGTGCGGCTGTGCCAAAGCCTAGAGTGTTCATTTGCGGCTGTGGCAGGGACTTCAGCGTCGGCCCAATGATCTAACTCGCCACAGGAAATACTCCAACTCCTGATGCTATCATTGCACGGAGCAATGGGCTTCCAAAGGTCCAAAGGTGTATGTGTGTTGTGCATTGGTGGTCGATTCACATGGCTTTGCCAGTTGTGTGGATTATACAGTTATCTGGTGCAAGTCTTGATCTGTCTCATCCAGATCTTGTTCGCTATCGTTGCTATAAGAGAAACTCTGTGGGTGCACATCCAGTGCATTTGCAGACGTGCGTTCTTCTAATGTTGTTTGTTGTTGTTTTTTATTTGAATTCGCAATACCAAACGGGCAATAAGCCCAATTACATGGAAGCGAATAAAAGAATGCTAAGAATGAGGCATTGGGGTGGATATTATTTCAAGTGGAAAATACTGATCCCGGGAGGTACTACAAATAGGTACAATGTAAATCTGAAAAGGCCATGGTACTGTCGTTTACCATGCTGGAAGCAGCTACATGGAGAAGGAAAAACAACAAGAAAGACGTTTTATCTCATGTATTGGACAAACAGAGCTAACAGGAAAAGACCGTTCGTTATATGCCTATACATACTGTCCGTGTGTGTGTTTGGGGGGGGGGGGCATGTCACTGTTTCTCTTCTTTTAAAAACGTTTATGGCCTGAGAGTGTACGGGTACACGGCTGCTGCGAAATCGGCCACGGCTTTGCAGGAACGTACACTGGCTGGCAGAGTGTTCCACAGCGCAGGTCCACGGAAGAACGGTCGGCGAGTGCCTGTATTCGTCCTGGCCAGCGGGAGAATGAGCCCGGCGTTGGCTTGATGTCGAGTTGGGGCCGTGGTTGCGGGCTTCAGCTGCTTTGAAAGCGCTGTACTACATTGGCCGTTCAGGCCGCGCCAGATGAGATCGAGGAGTCGGTGGTGTTGTGTCTCCTCGATTTTCCGGAGGGATATGCTCTCCCTTTGGTGGCTTACCGAAGATGTGGGTGGTAGGCTGAACACAGCGCGGATGGCACGGTTCTGAAGACGTTGGAGTTTCCCTAGAGCGAAAGCTGAGAGGGACGTGCTATAGGCCACACTTCCATATAATAGGTCGGGCATCACAACGGATTTTAGGTATTGGACCCTGGCCTTCTGGGAAAGGGATCGCCGGGCTCGCCGCAATGCTCCGACTTTCCTGTTCACCTTCGCTGTAACATCGTGGATATGATGGTCCCAGGTCAGTTGCTCGGTGATGGTTAAACCCAAGTACTTGGCCGCAGTACAAGCAGGTAAGCGGGTCTGATGGCAATTTACAGCGATACTGATTACTGGTTTGCGCATCCCTCCCACAGATGGACAGAACTTGACTTTTGCGTTCATTCAATATCAGGCCGCGGTTTTCGAGCCAGTCGGCCAGCGCAGTGACGGATGACGAGAGTCCCAGTGAAATAGTTGCCGTGTTGGAACCACTTTGGTACAGTGCAATATTGTCAGCAAATTGTATGCTAGGGGTCGGGTGAGCTACTGCAGCTACCGCTCGGGTGTATATATTGAACAAGATGGGCCCCAATACAGATCCCTGGGGTACTCCACTTGTGCATACTGTGATGTTGCTCAGTTCGCTACCGATGCGGACTTGTTGTGTCCGGTTTGTAAGGTAGCTAACGAGCCATTTCATCACCGTACCGCCAACTCCAATTTCAAAGCAGTCCTGGATCATAATTGCATGCCGCACTTTGTCGAAGGCCTTCGACATGTCAAGGAAGCACACTCCAGAGGAGTCCTTCTTGTCGCGAGCCATTTGCAGCTGATCAACCAGTAAGGCTAGTGCATCACCCGTCGAGTGCTGCCGGCGAAATGCAAACTGAGTTTCCGGGATAGCGTCGGTGTGGTCGAGGTGCTGTACAAGCTGCCGCTGGACCAGCTTTTCCAGCAACTTTGACAAAATCGGAAGTAGCGACACTGGCCTATAGTTTGTCGGCTGAGACGGATCCCCAGACTTGAACAGCGGGCTTACAGCCGCCAACTTGAAACCGGCAGGCACTGCACCAGATTTCAGTGACAGGTTGAAGAGTGTGGTGACAGATGGTGTGAGGACCTCGGCACAGGACTTCAGGAGGAATCCTGGGACACCGTCGCTGCCCGTTGCTTTCGCAGGGTTGACTTGACTTAGTAGACGGTAGATTACAGAACAAGAGGCTGGCTGGAACGTGTGCAGGCTATCCGATGGAAGTGGGCCGACGGGAGAGGCTAGGCATGATGGGCGCTTTGGATCCGTCACAATGTCATGAAACACGTTGGCTACCTCTTCGATGTTGCAGGTTGGTTCGGTTTTCTGCTTCCCGCGTCCGGTGACGGTATTGAGGACTTTCCAAATCTGGCGGGGGTTTCTGGAATGTTCTTGGCATTGACGTGCGAAGTACTCATTCCTACAACGGCGATACATGTTCGTTGCCTGAGTTCGAACCTTCCGGTACTGCTGGTGGAGTTGAACATTTCCTTTGTCGGCCAGCCAAACTGCCAAAGGCGATGATACCTTTTCTTCTTCTTGTCCAGCTGATAAATGTCGCGGTTTGACCAAGGCACAGGTTCTGCAGATTTCATTGCCCCTTGTACAAGCGGGGCATGTGTGTCCAACACAGTCATAAACCGATCGTGCCAGAGCTCCCAGTAAGTGTCGACATCGGCATCAGAGGGGAA